GTCTAATTCTAAATTTACTTTTTGTTCGTGCAGATCGATTGTTTGGATTGTTTGACGTGAGATGCTTTAACGACTGTTTGTAGCATCTTCCCACAATTAGATGAAGCTTACTCAACTGACTTACATCTAGATCAAGAAATACGCACAATCTATTCATATCGGAAGTAGGTTTCTTGATTAGAGGCTGTTTACAAGTGATTTCCAGCTTCGCAAAAGCCTACTACTTCATTTGACAGACGAAAGCGACGTCTGTTTTAGCCCAGCTCGAATGCGGCTGTATCAATGACTACATTAACTTGAACTTACCGGTAGATTCGAATTCTACGTCGTCTTATGGTGAGATCCTCTATGGATAGCGTCTTCAAGAAGATGTTCACATGCTGTGAAAGATGGCCTAATAAAGATGAAGTTGAACGTTTACTCGAGAATCTGTTAGTCTCGAAGATTCTCATGGACTGGCTTGTCTTCGCAAAGGCTGGAAACAGAAACAGGACGGATTCCTCCTGGCCAGTTGTTGTTTAAAATAGATGGGAACTTTAGGTTGACGTAGTACCATGATATTTCATTTTTACTCTCCTTTGGCAACGCTCAACGTATATACCGACGCTAAAAGGTGCCAAGATAAGCAAGCCAACCGGCCTCTTCCCGAATGAGGAAAAAAGCATATGTTGATACACCGTCATGTCTGTATATGTGATTTATGCGTTGTATGTGTATGATTGTGTGTGTATTTGAGGTTAAGATAATGAACCAACTGTGCTTAACGTCTATCCAGTTCGCCAAGGTTTAGTGACATGTTTAACTCGAGGAAACACATCGCAGCATTCGTCCGGCAGGTTGGGTTGTTATTGTGAGATTAGGTGCATAGAAAAATGTTCTCATCTTCTCGGAACCAGTATAGACTGAAAGATGAGTAAACCAACGAAAGCATATAGTCTTGACGATTGAATATACACAATCAGAAGACTTCGTCTTCCGCTCACTTTGAAGGCCTCCCAAATCTTTCCTTCCTCGATCTCATCGCACTCACTACAACTTGCACGGACCATTTGTCTCATTCATTCCAAGAGGAGCCTCCCTTGAAGAGGGAGATGAGACGAGAAGAGAATAGAATAGAATAAAAGAAAAGTGAAGCTAAGAGGTAGAACAAGTCCACTTTTAGCAGCGCCCCAATCGCGCCCACCATCTCTCACCGTCGAGTGTTGCGAAATGCAAGTATTCGCACATACCCTTCAGCGCGTATCCTACTTTTTTGTGGCGCCAAAATGACTCAAACCTCCGTAGCCGCATGTGTTGCTCGGCAGAGTGTGGCTCTGCAGTTGCCTCGACACGCGCCATCTCATGTTTCCAATCTCTCGCGGGTTCGCCAATGAGTCGTTGAGACCGAGTCGAGTCCTACACTTTATCGCGGCTTGACTTGTCCTCCAGACAACTCCACAATTCCTGAAGACTGGCCCAGTCCGTCGTCAACACCTACAGTTGGAAGACTCGTCTGTACATTTGGCACCTCGGATCTGAACTCTCTATCGTCATCCCACCCCCACCCCTCTGGTCGGATTTAGACTTCTGCTTTTTACAGCTAGGCTCCCAGCAAATATCTTCTTGAGCCAGATTGGTTGCGTCCGTTGACTGCCTTGGCAACGCCGTGAACCGGGGATGCTCAGGCTGGGCAGCCTCTTCACCCGGTCGCAGGATTTGCATACTCTACCCTTGCACTATGGCAACATTTATTTTCAAGTGAATTCATCTCAGAGTAAAGCAAATGAGGCAATTCGGACGGGAAAATGCTCTCTGAGGTGTCCCGCCCCCCGGTATGTCGTGTCAAGAGGGGGCTCAACCATTTCCTGCTGTTGTTGGGCGATTATAGGGTTGATGTAAGTCATGCCCTGCCCTGCCCTGTCGTGTCGTGTCGTGGCTCTTCGCAACGGCTACAGATGATGGCCAGCCTCGAGTAATTTGTGACCAAGCGGCTTCGATAATCGCTTATCCGTCCGCTTAAGACGCCACCATTGGAAGTATGTGCGTTTTGCATGTCTGGCTGCTCGCTACGTCGTTTTGTGTCTGTTGGTGCGTTGAAGGGAAGAGAGAATAGAGAATATA